AAATTTGCAAAGCCATAATTTGACTGGCCAGCATTGCCACGCCCACAACTGACAGATGAGAACACAACAAACCAATCACAACTCTCCTTACAAAAGTCTCTGGTACCCTGATCAAGGTTTATTGTTCCCGTCACTTTTGGTCCGCAAACCTTTTGGAAATCTTCTACAGTCAAGTTTTCTAAATAACCATCTCTCAATACCTTGAATGAAAAATGAAATAACACTATATTTGGATTGTCGATAATAATAAAAGCCAATGCTTACAGTGAATAATACAACAAAACTCTAACGCCTGATGTTCACTATTGAATATTTTCTGTTAATCCTTAATCATGAATAAATTTAACTTGGAATGCTATATGAGGAATTCAATTACAACAATCAGCAGGGAAAATGATGAAGTTTACAGTAAGTGATCAAGGCCTAAGCACATGCAAGATCTGAATGCTTCCAATAGAGTAATAGAAATTTGGCAAGATTTTTTTTTGTTTAAGCCACACTAATACAAGGTAACATGACGATTATCAATCTTTAAAAGTGGGGGAGGATTTAAAGTGCCCCTTTGTCTATTATTTCTGGGTCAAGCAAGCATTTGAGACCCAAGAGGAACCACCAAGATCACTTTTCATTCTGCTGTCTATTTTTAAAGGCATGACATTATCAGATTGTATGATAAATCATTCTGTAAGCCAAATAAGCCAAATACCCAGTACGTCATTCTAGCTTTATTTTATAACAGTTTCTTATTATCTTATAACAAAATTTCCACCAAGCACTATGTTTTTATCTGTTTAATATTCAAAGCTATTGCTTAAAGGGAAAAACATAGAATAACTACAAATTGAATGTATAGCAAATAAGGTCACCATAGCAAGATGAAAGACTCCTCCCACTGGCTTACTACTGGTCTCGGCAAGCAGGTGTCTAATGTCCTCTTTCTTTGTCACATTTCTTGTTGATACCATAACATCTACCCCCAAATTCTGTAAAAACACATGCATGTAAATGTTATACATGTATATAAAGTACAACAGAAAAAAAATATTCATGAACTTATTGCTTTTTGGTGTTAATGCTAATATAATTCATTTAAATAAAACTGATATCTCACTGTATAAAACAAGTGTTTATCACACACCAGTTCAACTTTTGCAACTCCGTAGCCGTGCATATATTTTGATGTGACGTCATTTGCCTTATAAATACAAACATTACATAAAGACGCACTAAATGTTATTTTATAAAATGAACACTTAAGACATATTTTCATATTCAAATCAGATACTTCTGAAAATATCTTTTCTACAGGACACTCCATGAAATGAAATAAATTTATACACTAAATAAGACAAATATCCTGTATATATCATTTATATTTCATTTTCATATGTTCACTTAATCCATATTTTCATATTTTACAATATATCAACAAAATACCTGTAACAGTTGTATTTTTCTTTTCTGGTACCCTGTTCTAACTCCCGATCTAGAGGTGAGAATGAGACTTCTGGCCCCTCGGTCTACCAACCACTGAGCCAGCTCAAGCCCGAACCCGCCAAGACCACCAGTTATAATGTAACATTTTCCGGGATCACATGCAGCACGAGGGAGGGCTGGTATGCTCAATGGTGCACTCATTTCACCACCTTGAACCTTAAGTTATTGATAAAGTTTTTAGTTATTTATTAAGTTTTATAACCTATGATCAAAAAGAGAAATTGTGACAGTATTTGAAAGTTTCAAATTCTCAATCTGTTTATTAATTGTACAATAAAATATCAGACACAGTTTTGAGAGTTTATGTCTTAAGTATTGCACATAAGACTCCATAAAGATCTGATTTGGGAAAATTGTTTTGCATTATTTATTTTCAAGTTAAAATTACATTGATTTATATATAGAAATACTCATACAGAATGCAGGAATATTCATTTAGTTACTACATTTTCCTGAAAAAAAATGTAATTTCAAGGTAAAAATACCTTTATTATAACTTTTCCAATATGTTTTCCTTGTGCCATAAATCTAAAAGCATCTTCAACACTATCCCTGTCAAACACCGTTGCTTTTAATGGCTGCACAGCTCCAGACTGTATACCCTCTGTTAGACATTGAGAAACTATAGACCAGTCTCGATTCCCTTCTTCAAATAATGCATCCAGTAAAATACCATGGAAACTGATGTTCTTCAGAAATATAGACATTCCTATAATTATAATATATAATAATAATAGATAAATATTAATAATTTTAAATAATATATGTATACGTAAAAAAATCAATAAATTCCGTTCCTCTAAAATATTTTCTGTGTTACAAATTCATATACATGTTTCGGGATCATAACAATGGTTTTTTTTGCCATATTGGGATCATTACAATGCCTGATGAATAGGGCCTTATTATGACATTATAGAAAAAACTCAATGAACTGTATTACATATATCAAACAAAACAAAGAAATGAGTGAAAATATATCTTGCTTACCAAGGGACGTGTCATTTGAGAGATCAAACTTTCCAATTTCTAGGAAGCGACCATGCTGAGCGAGCACTCTCAAACTAGCTTGAAGTTTCTCTTCAGCGAGGGAGTTCAACACAATGTCAACTCCTGTAACAGTAAACAGTTAGTGTCTTAGATAATAGAATCAAATAATTCATCAGACCATTTTCTGTTGCACAAAGTTGTGTTTAACATATTTGCTAACTATATTATGATGGGAGGCTTCTAGAAAATATTTAGATATATCTAATCAGTCAGTATAAAGATATTACTTAAGTCATTATATTGACGAATATTTCGGGGGTTGAGCTATATTAATCCTTACATTGTAAGGCTCGGAGCCTCCTTACCACGCAGGCATCACTTATTTGTAAATATATTTGATTAATTTCCGAATTTAGCCAATACAAAATGAATTTATTTTTACACTTGTTGTATTGTATACAATGTCTATGCTCACAAATTTATCATAATTGAGTATGATAAACCATAATTAATTAAAAGAAACTCTCTTTTTTTCTTAAAAGTATTAGCTCACCAAGAATATCTTAATTCATTTATCTAAAATAAGACAAACACTGTTGGAACAGGTTCCTAGATTCAGATGATAATATTTACCTTTTCCTTTAGTTGCTTTTAGTACTCCATTTTCAAATGTAGTGTCTCTAGAATTGAAGAAATGTTTGTCTGTAAGTTTAGGAAATCTTGACTTCAGATAACTGCGCTTCTCCTGTGAACTCACAGTTGTGAATACTGTACAACCATAACTAAGGGCCACGGCTATAGCTGCCTGACCTACACCACCACTTCCTGAATGTATCAGTACCGTATCACCATGGTGAATGTTGCCTCTGACAACCAGAGCATAGTAAGCTGTAGTATAGACTACAGGGATTGTTGCAGCATCTTCCAGTGACCAGGAGTCTGGGATCGGCCATATAAAATGACTGTTTACATCTACAACTGTAGCTAGACCCTTAAAAGGAGAAACACTTCTTGATGATAAGTAATATTGAGGAAAATGGAGGAAACAATGATGGTGAGAGAGAAGTGGCAAAATATATTTACAAGTATATGAAGTTTAAAGAAGATACCTTAAGTAATATAGTAGTTATAGTAAAAAAAAATAACATTTTTTTAAGGAAAAAAAACAACAACATGATAAACCAAATGTATAAATACTGTAATTATAGACAAAATTAACAATTGACCTATATTAAGAAAAATTCTTAATTAAAATGAAATGTTTTATTTAGAAAAACAAAAAATATGTACCTTTGCTGGTACTAATCCCATTACACGTCTGCTTTTGGAGTCTGTTCCTGAAAATTCCATACCCAGCATGCACTCTTGATTTGCTAGGCCTCCTGGGATAGCATCGGGTGGGAGTTTTCCTGTAGCTAACATTATATCCCTGAAGTTGAGGGCAGCATAATGAACTCTGCAAAGCTCTGATTGCGGTTCAACAGCTGGATTATGGTACCTTAAGGGAGATTCAATCCAATGTAAGCTTGATAGATCTCCTTTAGTCAGAACATTGACAAAAGCGTGATCTGTCTGGAGTAGTGTTACTGTAACATAGAACAAAACAAAATATATCAAAGTAACTATTTGCAGAATTCATCAAAAGTATATGTTTTTACCCCATACACTGCTGAATACCTTTATACTTTAACATACATGAATGTTATATTTACAATAATCACTTTGACAATGTTGTAATATTCCTTTTAAATGTTCTTAAGAATGTACACATTTACTTTCTTGACTTTATTTATAGGTCAATAGATCAAATTTGAATTACAAGAGCGATCAGTGATCACATGTGTCGCCTCATGATGGCCAATTTCATGTTGGGACAAGTTTTGTGACAGATGGACAGACAGATGGACAGTGCACAACTAAACTTGGTACTGATCATTCCTGTAAAGTTTGGATGAAATTGCACCAGTAGTTTATGAGGAGTAGTCCGGACAAGCTTTTGTGTATCTGGCAACACACAGAAAACTAGAAATGTGTCCATAGGACACGGATGCCCCCACACGCCACTGTTCTGTCAATCTTATGACTCTAGGTCAAATATTTTTTGGACTACATGTGCCACAAGTTGAAAACTAAAAATCAACAAAGGGCCATAATTCTGTTAAATTTGGTCGCAGCAAAAATTCCTTCCTTTACTACCATCTACACATTAAGGTTGTTAATCCCTGGAAGTTTAAGCAAAATCTGCCATCCGGTTTAAGAGGAGTTGCGTTCACAAAATTTCTACATAGTATATAATGAAAAAATCAACAAAGGGCCATAATTCTGTTAAATTTGGTTGCAGCAAAAATTCCTTCCTTTACTGCCATCTACACATTAAGGTTGTTCATCCCTGGAAGTTTAAGCAAAATCTGCCATCCGGTTTAAGAGGAGTTGCATTCACAAAATTTCTACATAGTATATAGTGAAAAAATTAACAAAGGGCCATAATTCTGTTAAATTTGGTCGCAGCGAAAATTCCTTCCTTTACTACCATCTACACCTTAAGGTTGTTCATCCCTGTAAGTTTAAGCAAAATCTGCCATCCGGTTTAAGAGGAGTTGCGTTCACAAGATTTCGGGACGTACGGACGGACTGACGGACTTACTGACGGACGGACGGACAAGTGCAACGCTATATGCACCCACATTGTGGGGGCATAAAAACACCTTTTTATCAAAGGGCCATAACTCGGCCAAAAATCATTCAACCGGAAAACCCGTGCAATATGCGCAAGGACTTGAGCTACAGATTATTCCTGTAAAGTTTCATTGAAATTGCATTAGTGGTATAAGAGAAGTAGTCCGGACAAACTTTAAAAATAAAAATTATTAAAGGGCCATAACTCTGACAAAAATCATTGAACCGGAAAATGCTGACAATATGCACAACTAGACTTGGTTATGATCATTCCTGTAAAGTTTGGATGAAATTGCACCAGTAGTTTATGAGGAGTAGTCCGGACAAGTTTTGTGACGGACAGACGGACGACGGAGAAGTGATCCCTATATGTCGCCACTACTCCGTAGAGGTGACACAAAAACGACACATTAAGGAGAATCAAAACATCTTGTGAGCTACATGCCTTTCAAATAAAAATTTTGACCCTAAAGGTCATAAAAGTTGGCCCTGTTCATGCAATTTAACATTAGCTTAATATTGGCCCTCTTCATGCAAGTTAACATTAGCTTAACAGAATGTGTACTTCAAATGGCACTTTTTTAAAATTAAAAATAACATGTGAATCAATGCTTACCAGGAGATAAAGGAAGGTGTCTAAATGACCCCCAGACACCATTATTATAGATATTCATAACCAGGTCCTTCTTTGATAGCTCTGTAACAGCTGCCTCTATATCAGGGAGTGGTTCATTACCAATATTTAGCACACATCTGTAGAAATAGAGTAATACATCACATCAACTCATGTATACTAAAAATCAAATCAATTTCATAACAGGAGAGCCGAAATAGCCAAATAACACCCACTAGCAAAATATGTAAAAGAAAATTTAATATCAATTTGATAATCATGAATTAATTGAATCAATGCTATCACAAATGATTGTAGAGATTCAATATCAGCTTCATATAAACTCCAAAATGTAATGTTTTCTTTTACACACTTTTAAACACTTGACCAGGTGAGTTTGTATAATGGTTGTGTCCTACTTTGAATTTTGAACAGTCCATACTTTAAGTGATTTCAATTATCAAAATACAAATACTGATTTGAAAACAGTAAAGAGCCCAGTTAGATTGCACATATGTGCAGACAGCTGACCCCTGCCCCTATACTGGTGTCAAAGGCTTATCAATTTGAGGTCAAACAGACATGGAATACATGTACATATATACATGTATCATTAGCCTACTCAATTTTGCAAATACCTTATTCTATCACCACCAGGTTCTTGTCTCAGACAATTTACCATTCCCATAATGCCGTTGACATTCTCATCTGCAACAAACCACAAATTGTCTCCCTTTGGCTTTGACTGAATAACTAGAATTTCTTCTTTCAATGTCTCCACCCAGTTACATCCAAGATCTGATACATTTATCACTTTCTGAGGGGCAGAATGATTGTCAATTTTCTTCAATAAGAACAATGTATTAAAGAATTGGTCAGATTTTTTATAAATAATCTCTAAAGCTTCTTCCTGGAATATTTCCCGCCATTTTTCATCTGTACAATAAACGCTGCAACTTCTGCTACTGAGATCATCATAAATATCATCATTGATGAAGCCATCTAAAGGTAAGGCAAGATGGAAGTTCTTGGTAACCTCTTGTACCAGGAGAAAACCTCCAACCTCCACGTACTCTAAAACATTACACAACCCAGATTTGATATTGGATTGTTTATGAAGAATATTATCAGCAACCACTAGCTGCATCTTTTGTTGCAGTGACTGAATAGGCTGATCACTTGGCAACCATTTTATAACCTCTACTCCTTCTATACTCTCATTTCCCATTGCTGTGGCTACTGTGAATGATGTATTTAACAATGGATGACTGGCAACAAAAGGCATTAAATGGTGACTCAAGTTAGATTTGGATATTTCTAATACTTTCAAATTTTGCTTCAAACAATTTTCTACCACTAGGTCAAAGCATGGCTTCAGTGTATCAGGTGTGATCAGGCAATTAAGAAGAGGATCTGATGCAATTGTCTTTTGATTTTCTGCAACAAACTTTTCAACATTCACAGCAAAATTTTCATCATAATCAGTCCTGAAGATTTTCTGTAAAGTGGATAGAACACCCTGACTTTCACTGTCACCTTGTTCAAATATTTCTGAGGTTTCTGCATGCTCTTCTAAGTATTTGACAACTGCTTTGATTTGGTGCTTGCTCTTTAATCCATTATCCCCATGTAGTTGTAACAGATTTGTAAGCCCCTCTTGAGCACATTTGTAGCATTGTCCAGCATACTGCTGAAGTGAAACTGATGCTTGTACTGGAATGTCTGACTGGTATGGTACAAAAGTGTACTTCTCTGTGATTGGATGATGGTAGTCATGACGACGTGGTGCTGGTGTAGCATGGAGACCAAGAATCTTTACTCCTCTGGTAATACAAGTGTCGCAATATTGATCAACAACTACATGGACTCCTGCAGAGTTAAAATTTTAAAATCTTTTATCTACATAAGTTGCATAGGAAATGAAAATGTTAAAAACCTATATAGTTTTAACTTTATCACAGAGAACAATGAAGCCGAGTCACATTTCTCCTTAATGCCTTTCACGCTTATTAAATAAACTTGAGCAAGATTTACATGTGCTTTTATTCTTCTTCAAATTAAAAACATCTCATCTATAATATACCAACTGAAAGCTTATTTTAATAATAGAATATTTCATTGACTTAAATGACATTAATATTTCAAAGTCTATTACATGTATAAGTAACTATAAAGGTGCTTTGGCAATTAGACCATGTGAGTGAAAGGGCCAACTTATTCAAATTATTAAGTCCATCTTGTCCATAATCTTAAGTCAAGGAAAAGGAAAACGACGATCATAGACACTTGGTTTCAGAAAAAGCGTCATTTTACACTTTTAATGATCAAAAGAGAAACTACATTTGTATATTTGACATATTTTCTTTCACATGTTAATTATTAAAGTGACAGTAATAAGCATAGGTTTAGCTGTGTATCCAAATTGCCCGATAGGTCACCCTAACTGAACTTTTTCTGCAGAGGCACGAAATACCCAAATACACCCAAATATACCCAATATTCATTTTTGTTTGTATCAAATATAGATTTTAAGAAGAAAATGAATTAATATTTAAGAAAGCAATATGACTAAGCCGGCTATAACTTTCAATCATTCCATTGAAATGGGCAGTTGAGATTTTGTAAGTAAATAAACTTGTGACAATTTTCCCGATCTAGGTTCATTAATGAATACACATGCAATTTAAGATTAAGATATATTTGTTGTCTACATTTAAAATTTTAGGGTCTAGTTTTGTTGTAATTTCATAGTAATGTCCATCGGATTATTTTTTTGTAATTTAATAGCTTTAATTGAGTATATATGGGTATTTTGCCTGCCTCTTTTTCAGCTAGTCTAATTTGATATAAAAGTTTAAAAAAAATAGAGGTAAAAATGATCAATACCTTGTTGATTATCTCCAATATCAACAATATTCCCATGATGCAACAGTGGGTCTATAGTGAGAGCTTTAATTCTTGTTGGCAAACAAAGACCATGTCCCGGCTGTGACAGTATAGTCATCTGTAACATTGTATCCAAGAAAGAAACCCATTCTCCTGTCCATAAAACTTTACCATGGACTCCTGTTAAAATAGAGGTAAAATATATCTTTTTGTTGATAAAAAATACTTTTTCGTATTTTGGCATCAATTTGATAAATAATTTTGAGATGAACCCATCAAACTAGTAACACTTTACGGGAGTTGTAAAAACTTTGAAAGAAACTTAAAAATCATTCAAGTAACCGAAGTGATGCCTTTGCAAAACTTCATGTTGTAAACCAAGAAGTCAAAGTGTCTGCAAGCAGTGTATTTTCATATTATAATGTTTAAAAAACAAAGCTTTATGTAATAACAGTAATGCAAAAAATATAGACTGAATCAGAGAGGAAATTTATGCCATTATCACCTGTAATATCTGCCTCTTTAATGCCTTGAAATGTAGGTCCATAGTCGTACCCTCTCAATCTCAATTCCTTGTAAATATCTGATGATTTAAGCTCAAACTCTTCATTAGTGAAGTCAAATTCAGTCTCGTATCTTGCCAAATCTGTATCTTCGGGGCAAGTAACTTTCCCGCTGGCAACCAATGTTTCACCTTCTTGTATTTCAAAGTGTCCAGTTCCTGGCATATATCTTACATCAAAATGTATCTTTCCTGAATTGCAAGCATAAATGTGTGAAAAGGATATATATAGAACCATTCACAAGTCGGTGATTATCAATCAGGATAGGTTTTGGCAAAAGCTATATGCCCGCAGATTGTCAATAATACTGCAAAAGTTTAAAATCAAATCTAATACATTTTTAATGATATGCAAATTAACACTTGGGGAGGGGGGGGGGGCAGGGGGATTGGGGAGGGTCCTCAGGGCCCTTTTCTTAAAGATTTTTATTTTTATAATTTACATGGCATCATGGCATTTGAATCAGAGATTATGTAGATCATATAAAATATTAAAAAAACAAAAAAAACAGCAGAATTCTGCTCATCAATATGAATCAACCATACATAACCTAAAAACATGTGAAAAGAATAGCTAACTTGATAAGTACAACTTATGAAATACAATAAGCCTAATAATAAGAATTCAAAATAACTAGGAAGGTTTTATGTCAGTAACATTCAAGGGAAAAATAAAACAAACATGAATATAAATTACCAGTTTCTGGCAAGATCGTGGCCCTATGAATGTCAACATTCTCAAACAGCACAGTAAGCTCATCATACTGCTTAGATATAGACTTAGCCAGAGTTTTCCAAGCCAACAACAAATATCCAGCGGCGGGAAAAAGAACACGCCCATCTATCTTATGCCCAGTCAGGTACCTGTCTTCAGAGTCATGTGACATGTCAATATCAAAGCCACACCCATTTGAAGAGTTAGCTCCTCCTCCAATGAACATATCAGCAGTTGGCACATTCCATTGCTGTGAATGGTCCCACCTGACTAAAGGTGAAATCATAGGTGTTCCTCTAGGTACAGGATAGGATACAGGGGTGAGAAGTTGTAATGGATTCAACTTCACGCCGTGTTGATAACACCTGAAAATGATATATTGAAAATATTTAAGTTTTATTTTTATTTTATGTTTATTTATAACACAAACAAACTACATTAAATGATGACTCCAATATAATTGGTGAAGGAATTCCTCAGAAGTGTGTTCCTTAAAACATACTAACATTACAAATGTTGAACTCTATATTTCATAATGTAACAAAATCAAGCTACAACATCTATCATAAATATTCAAGTTTTTAAAAGAGTTGTAACATTGTGAAGTTATTCATTCTTCTTTTTCTATTGCTATAATTTTGCTTTTCAGTTTCAAATTAAAAAAAAGATACAAAAAATGAACAAATGCAATTATTGCAATAACTGAAAATAAAACTTACTTTCCAAGACTTGAAAGACAGAAATCAACATTATCTGCATGTGATCGTTTCATCAAGCCCACAATGCAACAATCCTTTGAAAGGGATCTTTTCAATATTGCTTGTAGAAGACAATGAGGAGCAATCTCAATCACAACAGCATTATTGGGTACATGCTTCAATGCTTCCTGGAACAGTACCGGACTGACAAGGTTGTTCACATGATAGTCAGCTGAAGAGTGCTTGGCAAGGTCAGTGGACCAGTTAGCCTCCGGTATTGAGGAACTTATCCATCGTGCTGATCTCTCCTTGGGATTTTTGATAACCTAAAAGATTGAGAACGAAATGATTTGATATTAAATTGGTCTCAAAGTATAGTAAGGGATTTCTTGTAACATAAAGGTCACAATTTGGCTTCCAAATTATGCTTTTACTCATACACTGGATAAGGTTGCATTGTAAATGTCTAACTGAAAATATACATCAGGGGTCCCTATTTGCATTACCTAAGGCATGAACAAGTAAACAATTAGAACTACCAACTTGACACAAGCTAGCTCACATACAAAAATTATATATCCCTGAAAGACTATGAACCCACATTATGTCAACGTCAAATAATTACAACAAACACAATGTTCCATTGTGTCCTTGAATGATGTCACTATCAAACAGGTATTTCTTGCCTCATTCAAGAATCTAAACAAGTTTACAATTCCCCCAAGTATAGAACATATCTCCCCCTTAAAATTAGAGAAAATATGGAAAATGCCTAAAATGTTTTGAAGTGAACTGAGGAAAGCAGTATCAAGATGTGCAAGGCTATTCTTGTTTTCATTATTTTGCAACTGAATTGATTATTAAAGATCATTTCAAACTTTGCTGATTGTGATTCCCCCACCCAAACCAATTGCGGATAACTTCACATTTTCCCCACCTGATGGGTCTGACCACTATTCCCCAAAATGTGGAAAAAAATCACTGTTTCTAGAACATAATACATGTATAAATAAGTTTGTGAGTAACAGATTCAAGGGATGGTATTTTTGCTGTTACTCACAAATCTTTGTGTTATTTATTACCGCAAACAAATACTTCATTGGAACACTCTAGGTTTTTGTTCCAAATTTTTACAGTGAAAAATACTAACACCTACATTAAAACAGTACAAAGTTTTTAGACACAAAGTTCACTTAAACAAACTGTAAAACCTACTCCCATTGGCCTATGGGAAATTAATAGTACAAAATATGAGGTGTAAAATTCATTTTGACAGCTGCCATGTAAATTAAACAAGAAACTAGAAATGTGTCATCATGCCACGGATGCCCCCGCATGCAGCCAAAATTTCAAATGTTATAATATTTAGTTCCAAATTTGTTTGCACAAATTATTTTTTTCATTCTAAGTTCAAAGCCCTTAAAACTTTTCAATGTTAACACAAACCATTTTTATACAATGTTCAAGGCACTGAAATTAATCAGTCTTAACCATTTTTATACAATGTTCAAGGCACTGAAATTATTCAGTCTTAACCTTTTAAAAATAGCATATTGCATATTTGTAGCCAACATAATGGCTATATACATTTCCACAAAAGTATGAGTGCTGAAACTGAAAGTTCAAAATTTTTCCAACATTCAGGAAAGATAAGTTTGTCTAAAATCATTGAACCACGACCAAATTCAAACTTAAACTGCTTATTCCTAAGATGTATCTATATTAATTTCAAAGTGAAAGGGACATAACTCTGCCAAAAAATCATCGAACCATGACCAAATTCCAACTTGACCTGCGCATTCCTTGGACATATCCTTATGTCAATTTTGAGTTGAATATGTAACACTGTTGGGTTGATAATGAACAGAAACTGTAAATTTCATATCATTTTCAAAGTGAAAGGGGCATTACTCTGCCAAAAATCATTGAACCATGACCAGATTCGAACTTGGTCTGCGCATTCCAAAAACATATCCATATGTCAAATTTGATTTGAATGTGTAATATTGTTGGGGAGATAATAAACGGAAACTGAAAATTTCATATTATTTTTAAAGTGAAAGGGGCATAACTCTGCCAAAAATCATCGAACCATGACCAAATTTGAAATTGACCTGCGCATTCCTATGACGTATCAATATGTCAAATTTGAGTTGAATGTTTAATACTGTTGGGGAGATAATAAACAGAAACTGAAAATTTCATATTATTTTCAAAGTAAAAGGGGCATAACTCTGCCAAAAATCATCGAACCATGACCAAATTTGAACTTGGCCTGCGCATTCCTTTGACGTATCGATATGTCAAGTTTGAGCTAAATGTGTTGTACGATTGGGGAGATAATGAACGGAAACTGAAAATTTCATATTATTTTAAAAGTGAAAGGGGCATAACTCTGCCAAAAATCATTGAACCATGACCAAATTTGAACTTGACCTGCGCATTCCTTTGACGTATCCATATGTCAAGTTTGAGTTGAATGTGTTGTACCATTGGGGAGTTAATGAATAGAAACTGAAAATTTCATATTATTTTCAAAGTAAAAGGGGCATAACTCTGCCAAAAATCATCGAACCATGACCAAATTTCGAACTTGACCTGTATTTTCTCATGACATATCAATATGTCAAGTTTGAGTTGAATGTGTTGTACCGTTGGGGAGATAATGAAGGAAACTGAAAATTTCATATTATTTTCAAAGTAAAAGGGGCATAACTCTGCCAAAAATCATCAAACCATGACCAATTTCGAACTTGACCTGTATTTTCTCATGACATATCCATATGTCAATTTTGAATTGAATGTTTTGAACCATTTGGGAGATAATGAAAGGAAACTGAATATTTCATATTATTTTCAATGTAAAAGGGGCATAACTCTGCCAAAAATCATCGAACCATGACCAATTTCGAACTTTACCTGTATTTTCTCATGACATATCCATATGTCAAATTTGAGTTCAATATGTGCAAGGGTTATTAAGATAATGAACGGAAACTGATGATGACGGAAGGACGGAATAGGGTAACACTATATGCCCCTGCCATTATATGGCGGGGGCATAAAAATAAAATAATAAACATCATACCCTATTTAAAGCAGTTTTAAGTGAAGCAGCAATTTCTTGCATATAGTAAGAATGGAAAGCCACTCCTGCAGTATTTACTTCTTTGGCAAATATTTGTCTCTCTTTTAGCTCATTTACAAACTGCCTGACTGCATCCCTGGGACCAGAGATTGTCACAGTATCTATGGCATTGTGACAAGCTGGTACTACGCCCTCTGGACATTGCTCTAGAGCCTCCTGCCATGTCAAACCTGATGGATGAATAATAATTTCTAATTTAATATACGAAGGCAAATGTAAAAAGTCAAAGTGCTTAACAATAAATAATACATCTGCCAAACCATAGTGCATTAATTTATAATGGACTGGACTAAGAAAATGATAGATAAACTTCATTATTCAAAGAAATAGGTCTATCTTATTCATCATAACATATCTAATTTAAAATATATATGATGAATATATATGATAACATGAATGACATGATATAAGCAGTTAAAAGACAATTTTGTTTTAGAACTCCACTTGCATTTCTACAAAAATGGCAAGTAATAACAACATATTTCTTCAATTTAGATAGTTTAAGAAAAGAATGTTGAGCTAAATACTTGTACTGTTTCCCTATAGACAATCTGGAAAATGAAGTGATTGTTTTTTTCCATAATAACCAAGTATTATAATGTACCATATTTGTTTAAATCTTTAAATACTGATTTCGTTTCATGTCACTAAACAAATCAAGGTAATCAGTCAACTATAAAGTTTTATAAGTTTTATTTGTTAATGAATATTTCAGGAGCATAAGAAATACCTGAAAAGAAAAGAATGGTGTTCTTCTACTTAGCTGGATAAAATCTTTCATATAAATATTTAAAGGTAAGATTAACTAACCCACAGCAGCCATTCCTCCAGGTGGAAGCTTGGCATTCTGTATACAGTGACCTCTCCAGTATGCTGCCAGAACGGTTTCCTCTGCTGTCAGGCTTCCATCTGCGTAGGCACAACCAAGTTCCCCGACAGAGTGCCCTACAATACCATCTGGGCGGATTCCCATTGCTGTCACCACATCTACAAGAGCTACCTGGAAGTTTTTCATTTAGATTTCTTGAATACAAGAAAAGTTTTCATTTGCTCTAAAACAGAATCCATTAAATGTTAAATTTGTCAGATCAAATGTTAAATTTGTCAGAACACTTGTGAAAATAGCTTTTCTTTTTGAAACAATTTACCTTTTTTGCATTTGAAACAAATGTTTACCCCAAAACTTGATAAATTTGTGTAACAGATTAGACCGGCTTTGAATCTGGAACAGCATATTAAAGGTTTAAGTAATTTCAATGTCAATTTACAAAATCTTAAGCTACAAGTAGTATGAAGCCTGATTAGACTACACTGTCCTGGCTATATACTGGTGGCAAAGGCTAATCATTTTCAGTTCCAGCAAGTTATGGAATAAACAAGAAATCTGAACAAGCTACTGAAGTGAGTATTTCATATTCAAGTCTTTTAAGAAAAAAATCTCTTTTAAGCCATGATAGCCTAGAAGGCAGAGGTCTATGATGGACAAAATGAAGTACAAACTGTGACTATTTGATCCCTTCAAAATATTGTTGCTTTTTTCCGGGACCATAAAAACAAACGAAAGAGCCTACATTGGTTCAGCAAACACGGTCTTGACAAGAGCTGTCAAATGGACATCCTTTTGCAAATAGACTAACTCCAGATGTTTTTCCCAGCTAATCTGTACGTATAAACAAACCTTTACAGTTACAGCTTCGAAAATAAGCGCAACAAATTGACTAATCTATTATGATGGGTATAAATGCACCATCAAGATATTATGGTAAATGTTTGTACCTACTGATTAACTGGAAAAAAACTCACATTTGCTGAGTACCAGATAACATCTATATGTACACAATAATATACAAATGTATCTTACCTGGATTGCAGCTATTCCTACAAACGAGTTGACTGTATCTTCAAAGGTAGACTCGTCGCCATTCATTAACATATCAAACAAGTTCAAGTTATATGGTTTAAGAACAGCATCTGATCGTAATATTGAGGACTTGAATGTGTCAATCTCCATCATTTTCCTACCCATACCATGCCACTGTGTCCCCATTCCAGCAAACACATACCATACTGGACGCATTTCGGAACTGATTTTCTGAAGAAACAAAAAAGTGTACATAATTTGTGCCCAATGTGTCATAATAAAGTAAAGTTAAAATTTCCACTACTACTGTATTTCTTTATGTCAAAAATCTAGTTTGGGTATCAAGAACACAAAAATATGTTAATTTTCATAAAATGATTATTAGCTTAAAGTGACATTATGCCCATCTAAAGGTATATAGTGCATAAACAGGTGAGAGTAAAAAATAAAGTTTTATTTTAGCATAATTCCTTTTAATTTGATAATTTACTCGCATAAAGAATAAATAACTCCCGGATCCAAACAAAATTTCTGTAGATATCATTTAGTATTTACCTGTAACGTTGAATTATAAAAAGAGTGTGGCAGTCTTTTTATATTTTAGGCAGATTTTATTTTTATCATAAATATTTTCTGATATCAAATGTTGGTCAAACACTATTTAAACATTTTTCTTTAAATATAAAGTCAGTTTGGCTTGACTTGATTATGAAAATATGAGCATAATGTCACTTTAATTGATATGCTTATATTTATAAATATATCTAAAACTTAACACAATTGTATATCACAAAATAATGCATACAGAAGATTAAGCTGCAGAAAAACTGTATGATAATAACAGTCCACAAAAATATTTTTACCTGGACATTTATTTCATCTGAGCCATTAAGCACTGTATAACCCCGATAGGGATGTGTGGCAGATGGCAAATGGGTGGATTCATTCATTAAAGAATGTAAATAAAGATCACTTTCATGACGTCTGACTTTTTCTAAAGTTTCCTTCAAACCTTCCTCTGACCTTGAACAATACAAAAATAGTCTTTTCTTCTCACACTCCTTACATGCAGTATTTTCAATTTTCTTTTTTGCCCGAAGAATTGTGTGGACATTAGACCCTCCAAATCCAAATGAATTCACTCCAACCAGCCCAACATCCATTTTCTTGTTCTGACCCACAACTTCTAATTGTCCATCTGACAAACCTGGAATATCTTGGTTTGGGGAGTTATAATGTAGGTTACCAGGGATGATTTCTTCCTCCATAGCAACAATCACCTTAGCAACAGCAGCTAGACCTGAAAATAAAAATTGTAAATTCGAAAAATTAGGGAATAATCTTGTCAAAATCCTAGAAAGAACTACATATATATGCACTATCTTAGAAATGGGTGAAAAATTCATAGTAAAGGAATTTCCTATGTTTCAAAGCAATAACTCAAAAGGTTAGTATTAAAAAATTGGTGGTACTTAAACTTAATGAAGTTTGTGCAAAAACAATGTATCTGTTTGAGTAGAATAGTTCTCCCTATAAATATCAATTTTTAGTCAAGCTACGAATTAAATAGATTTGGTTTAAACATACATGTATCTATTTAAGCTTGATTGCAAAACAAGTTCTTGCAACTTATACATGTATTAATCACTTTGAGTCTGCATCCTGGAAACCAACCAGTACTGGTATCATATGAAGAAACATGGTTGTGACCAGATTAGGGCTCGAGCCCATGATCCACAGGGTGAGATGCAGACACCTTAACCACTAGGCCACCACTCCACAGTATTCAATACCTGATGCAGGCTCTGAATGACCCATATTTGACTTCACTGATCCAATGGGTAGAGACCCCTTTCTGCCCTTGCAGAATACATCACAAATTGTGTTCACTTCTTGAGGATCACCAGCCTTGGTGCCAGTCCCATGGGCTTCCACGTAAGACACCTGGGTGGGATCTATGCATGCCTCGCTGTATACTTCCTGTAGCAATCGCTTCTGAATATCTCCAGATGGAAATGTTATACCTAAAATATGTGACATAATTAGTTCAAAATATAATAACTATAATGAGAAGAAATATTGCCAATGGTATTAAATGATGATCAAATATAAAATTATCATGAATTCCAAAGTATACAAACGATTTAAACACTTATACCTATGTGTGAATAATGCATATATCAAAATAAAACAAGGACATACAATTTTGCATTGGACCTTTAATTTGTACCTATGTATTGTATAAAGTTTAGGTTCTTGTATCTATAATTTTTTCATCAAGTATAAACTAGATACAAACATACTGTATCATCCTTAATATTCAGGTTTATCAAAGAATTGGGCGTTTGCCCTGGAGTTGTCTCCGAGACAATTTTCCTCCAAATAAACAAGAGCTCTATGATAGGACAACAGGCTCGACTTTTCTATTCTCAATGCTCGATAGTAAAATACTAGTCTCGATAATTCAGAATTTTTCTAAATTCAAAAAGGACCGTAATTCTGTCAAAATCCATGTTAGAGTTATGGGCCTTGAGTAGTGACCTCCTATTATGTATATTTTAAAGTAGTGAAATAAGTGTGTGAAGTTTAAAACCATTCCCTTTAGTAGTTTTAGAGACATTTACTTGCAAGCAAAATTTAACCAGAGCATAACGCAGACGTCAATGCCTGTGTGAATACAATAGCTCTCCATATTATCAGAATAGTGGAGTTTAAAATAAGTTAACCAAATATATAAAGGATATTTGTTTATTTTTGTTTGAGATGAAATTTTATTTCATCATGTGAGCTACATACAATAGTGACATATATTTTGGATTGTCATGAGGCTCTGTTTTGTTTTATACGTCAAGGACTTTGGTTGACAAGAATATCTCCAACAGCATTAACTTTTTTTCTAAAATGATGTTATACATACACTATGTGGACACATATTCGCGAGGCTATGAAACTTGCAGATAAACAGGTCACCTTAGGTACCAGAACCCTTGTTAGGTATCTGCCCATCAGTGTTATAAATAAATGAAAACTCTTTACCACTACAGTACACAGTATCTTCCAAGTGTATGAATAAAATGTGTGCCAGGTCTAGCAATAACAAGTACCTGCTACTACTGTACCTTTTGGGAGCTTATAATTATATTTTAAATTTGATCTTCCTTGCCAAACATGAAAAAACTCATTTGTACACTGAAATACTGCTGAAACACTGATGCTTAAGAGAACAAAATATACATTTGACCCGAAAAATAACTAAACACACAGCAAATAAGCATACCTTGCTGTTTGTTTCCATCACTGTTTGTTTTTGAGTGAACTAAATTACAGTAAATACGTTTAGCACTAGATTCTTTCTGTAGATAGATGGCTACTATGCCTTCACTTCTGCAATATCCATTTCCTGAAAACAGTGTTCTTGAGTGAAAATTTACATCTAAAATAGCATTATAACATAGAACTGTAAGTCTTTTTTCAACTAACTGTTTCGATATTTAAATGTAATGTCAGTAACTTTATAATATAAGTTTAGGAAAACAGTTCAGAAATTAAATTTCCTTACTATATTTATGTATTTGACAAACAGTTATTGAAATTTAAATAAAAATAACATGTACGAGACAGCCCTTTCCCTTGAAACCACCGTTTTATATGACTTTTGTGATTTATGACTATGTGATTAAAAAACATTTCAGTCTGATAGACAACTGGAAGAGTGGATATTCAAAGCCTAATACTGTGGGATCAATAACCTATTTCCACACCAGACCCAACAGTACCTGAGGAAACTGAAAAGTATTATGACCCTAGAATGTTAAAGTTTAAACTGAATAGAAATAAAAAAAAAAAAAATAAAGAAATGAAGAAAATGGCCTTGAAAAGGAATTGCATAATTTGAAAGATACAAAAATTAGAATCCTGTACAAACCTTCAATATCAAAAGATTTACACATTCCCTCAGGTGAAAGCATGCCAAGCTTCATGAATTGTACAGCTACAGCTGGTTTCAAACACAGATTAGCCCCGCCTACAATTGCTGCATCACAATGCCCACTGCGAATACTGTGTAATGCTTGGTCCAGGGCCAATAAACTTGATGAACATGCTGTATCAATAGTGTAACTGGGCCCTAGAAAAGAATAGAACCCATATTTAAAGGCCACAATAATATTTTTCCACTTGAAAGTTGTCCAGTTAGCTCAATAGAGGGCTGGACTGTAAATCGGGTGACCCGGATTTGATTACCAGACGTGTAGGTCACTTTCGTTGTGATTGATCATCCCTTTTTTACCATCATTTGCACTGTACCTCTGCTCTGGCATGTACAGAAGTAATCAGTTCCTTGCGAAAGTGTGGGCAACTAGTACTGGTAAATGGTTTGACAACATGCCCAGGAACGATGCGGTAGCTGAACTGTGCTCTGGTAAATTCAATGTGGCTTACTGCTGTGATCCGGAGTGAAAACTACCAACACCACCACATTTTACACTACAGCTACTTCAACAGTTTTAAAGGCCTTGAAGCAGCCTGTTTTTAAAATAATGAATAAAGATGCTCCAGAGCAGAGGTTGAGAAATATCAAAAGAATTATGGTAAGTGAATACAAACCTTTAAAATCAAAGAAATACGAGAGTCTGTTGGAAAACATTGAACGTGTACACCCTGTCATTGCATATCCTACAGTATCTTCTACATCCATAGACCATGCCTCATGACTCTCTGATGCACTAGCCCCAATAAACACACCTGTCTTTGTTCCCCTAATATTGTCTGGGTTCAATCCTACACAGAGAAAGAAATCATTAATATTACACCAAGTAAATATTTGTTTATTTTGAGTGAATATAATGCTATATATATATATCACAATGAGAAAACTGAAAGTTGCAATATTTTCATAAGTGAAAGTGAAAATGTGGCTATAAATAATTTTTTACAACAATCTGCGATTTATAGCATATTCAAGAAAAGAAACAAATTTTCTTTTTTATTTTAAGCCTACGAGTAAATTTTTAATGTTAATGTTGAAGCGCAGGAAGTAAAATGCCAGATGTTCAAAAAGTATAAGAAGTTTGAAGTCACTGCTGCGTAGTTAGTGAAATAATGGTATTTGAATCAAGAAATATGCCATTTAGAACAAAATGCAACAATTCACTTTTTATGTAAATTTACAGAATCATAAAAAAACACAAAAATTAAAAGGTACAACAGAAAGACAGTCTGACAGACCGAGCTATATCACCCGCCGTAACTATCTACCTAGTAAAGTAAAAGCTAGAGACAAAATTGTTTTCTTGACCTTACGAGATAATTATAATGCTGATCAAACAAAATAGATCAATATGACAACACAAACCTGCATCAACTATAGCTTCGTAAGTAACTTCCAATAAAATCCTTAATTGGGGATCCATACTGTTAGCTTGTTTTGGATGCACACCAAAGAATGAGGCATCAAATTTTGAAAGATCCTTCAATTTTCCACTTCTCTTTGGCAAACCATACATGCCTAGGAATGAAATATGCACAATATATATGTACAAAATAGAACAGAATTATTGACATTGCAATATCATTTATACTCAATATATGAACTGTTGTGATATATAAATTGCAAAAACTAATTTGTTTACAAATCAGACAAACAAAAAGATCATTAACAGAATACCTACTTCTTACTCGTTATCTTTTGAAAATATGTAAATTAATAACAAATTCTTACCAGGAGTCCATCTAGAATCATCTTCTGTTACCATGTCAACACCTGACATCAGATTTTCTCTGAATTCTTCCATATTGTCTGATTGTGGCAACCGACATGACACACCACTGATCACAACTTCTCCACTTTGTTCTTTACATGCTCCTGCACCAACTTGTTCATGTTGTGATGATGCTGCCATCATATTTACCCCAGCATCTCTATCGCCGGTATGCATCTCATCAAATACAGGGGCTTCCTCAAAGTTCCTAGCTTGCATTTTCTGTCTTGTGAATTCTCCCTTCCGAGTTATAAATTTTATCAAACAGTCAATTCTTTAAATCTGAATGTACAGAATGTTAGGTTGCACATATAAATTCATGTATAGTATTTTGTTTTTTTTTCAAGCAGTTTTGAAGCCCTATTCACAGAGTCAAAATGTATCTGAAAATTCACAATTGTCAAATTATTGTAGTCATTAAAAAAATTGAAACCAATACATTCAACTAAAAACCTACAGTTGACATCTGATCATGGTAGGTTTTGAGCAGCGCAAGCATTGCCAGATTTACATGTGAGAAAGCTATCCAGCTAGCTTACGGAAATTCGGTGGTTCTTCTCAGGTGCCTGAGGTCTTAATTCATCCACCATTAAAGGAGGAAAGTTGCCATATAACCTATACTGTGTTGGTGTGACATAAAAACCATCCAAAAAACTAAAAGACTTTATTCAAAGTGTTTAGCTATACTTGTACATCTGCTGCAAAAATCATTGTTTAATTTTTAAAAAGAATACTTTTAAAATGCTTGTATGAAATAAATATGGTAGTTATAATTGCCCTAAAATAAAATGGTGCATGTACGAAATAATTGCTAAACGGATAAAAACCTACTTAAAAATAGCAGAATAATATTTTGTTCAAGAACATTAGATTCTGTTCACATACAGTACTCATATATACATATAATACAATGTATGTTAAATACCATGCAGAGACATTTCAATTGTTACAACGTACTCTTTCAAAGATTGACCATATAGGATTATATGTGTTAAATATAATTTTTACTGTCAATATATTTTATTAATATATTTCATATGATATAGTTATTACCCTTTCATAAGGTATTTCCCCAATCTTTCATGACATGATTTTAACAGAATACATATACATGTAGCAATACTCAAAATATTAGCTTAGGCCTACATAATATAAAGGTCTTCGGTCAGCATACCCGTTATCTACTATAACAGGACATGATCAGACAGGGAAAAAATGGTACAAAAGCAGCTTATAAGTTTTGGATGCCAGAACTAGCAGAAATATGATGGAACTAACATTTAAAAAAAAAAGAAAAAAAAGAAGATCTAAATTCTTTTAATCAGTAATTAGTGCTGCATATGTTGACTTGTGTTCGGATTTTTTTTAGTGGTAAGATTTTTTTTAAACTTAAAAACATATCACGACTCTTCTGTGACATGCAAATGCGAAATGGAAATCAACTGGCAGTATACAGTACTGTATTAGACCTGATTAGGAGTAAGTTCCAGTAACAGCAGTATTTTATACTAGTTTCTTCAACTTTTTTGGCGAAGAAAAGTTTCAAAGACAAAGTTTCATTTTTACATATTTTTTTATCATTAATTTTCTTTGCTTTTGACAGACCGTTGTCAAAAAAAGTAATTCTCCCAACCTCAACCATGTCTACTTTCATTTTCTAAAAATAGAAAGACGCTACTCCTGCATAAACCATTGGTTATTTTCTGTTAAACATGTTGAATTTTATTATAAAATAAAATATTTACCTTGAAAATACGTGCTGTCTTATCCGTAGCAAATTTGTAAATGAAAATACTGATGAAATTTACTCGTGGCATGTTTTTGTTTATGTGAGTTGACCTCTCCCTAAACTCGTATGGTGCGATGTAGGACGATTTCCAACAGCCAATGAAAATCAAGCATGAGTTTTTATGACATTGTGGCGGGAAAACGCGCGTTGATTTTCTTGCTTGATGAATTGAATCGATTTTAAGGTAAAATAACTGTTAAATGAATACTGGAAACACCACACCACCGCAGTAGTTTATGGTAATTTTGTAAACAACTTGTCAGACGAGTTAAAGGTGCTCTGTCTCATATCTGAGCTACATTTACTACAGTTTTTTTCGAACCCAATCTTTTTAAAAAGACCCTCCTAGAAATGATTGATCGAGAATCTAGACTTCGAAATGGCATCATTTTTTAAACAGCAAAATAAAATACACAATAAATTAACATGCTAAAATAGTTAACATTTAAGTAAAGACACGACTTTGATTGGTATAGGTTTATGTTTATTAATGAGCATTTACAAACTTAAGTTGATGGTTATTATATGTATGGCGAGTGAATTTTAAGTGTAATTAACAGTTCATTTAACTTGATATTATATTATCTGATAGTAATTCAATAAGGTTCTTATTACAACAGGCCTGCATTTTTCTTCTTCTTTCCTTTCCTTCTATATTTCATTTTCTCAAAATCTATTTGCATTTTGTTTGTTTTTGTTATATTTGGCAAATGTACATGGTTTTCTAAGTCAATGATACGCAAATCATATAAAAATCAGTTAACATCGTTAAACACTATTCAAGCTAGAGAACATGTACACCCAATCTTTTTTATTGTTCTTTCTTAGGCCAACCTAAAATCATTTTTTTTAAAGCCAAGTATATTTGCTGGGACATAAGATAATTATCTTATGTCTCAGATATGTGTTCTATCTAAGTGATAGTCATTCTTGTAAAATATGTTATTGTAATTTATTGTATCAGGGAAGACCCGTTGCTAATGTTGAGAACTTGTGATTCAACCCTTTTGCCAAATATGTCATGTCATTGTATTGTAACTGTCTACAATCATGTATATATATGTCTTATTTTTGGCAATAAAATATGTTTAAATCACAGGCCTGCATTATGCATATTGATACCTGAGAAAGCAATACATGTACTTGGAAGGAAGGATATTATAATATAATTATATAACGTTTCAAAGATATTTTTGTTACCCTCCCACCCCCACCAAAAAAAAATTAAAAAAATAAAAATAAAGAAAAAAAGTTGCATTTCACGCACTATCCACTTGTTAATTCTACGACCTATACTGTAAATATTTAAAAGTAAAAAAATCAAATTACAAATTACACATTTGCTTTCAAATTCTTTCTTACCTTTACATCAATGTAAGCGTAAATTACCAACTAATTTTGCGAGCGTCTTTCCCGGATGAGATCTCAAGTAAAAATGAAAAATAAATCGAATCATTAGAGAAATAAATGCACGATGAAATGATAAAGTCGTGCGCATTCGAACACGAGAATCTCGTGGTCATGCTCAGTTGAAGGTCATATTATAAATGCTTTAAGGATGCGTTTATCGTGTCATGATTTTCCTAGATATTTACAGCATATCGATGCATGATAATTTAACATTCTTTTTTTAAAGTACACTTCAACATTTCAATGTTAAACTAAAATGACTATTGATAACGTTATATTGATATGTGGCGTAAAGATTTACGAAAAATTATACTCATTTGAATTATTGAATAGTAGAAGTTTACTAACTGCTGTATAACAAAAATGCCATATATTGCAAAAAATATCTTTGCGTTCATCGGACTTAAAAAAAGAAACAAAAGAAGAAAAAACCCAGCAAAAACAAAATAAACAAACAAACAAACAAACAAACAACAACAAACAAACAAACGCTGGTTCACTGGTGAGATACCTAACAGTGAAACAAAATAATTTATAAAGCTATATCTGTACATCATATTTTCAAAATGACTTAAAAACCAAGATACATGTATTTGCATGTTAACATTGACCAGGGTCTTTCAAAAAGTTCTATTTGAAAGACCCTGCATTGACCTACAAATGATAGGGTGACAATCAGTTTATAAATAGCCAGTAAAAGCTAAAAATATCGTCTGCCTACAGTATAAGTTCACTGTATAAAGATATTTTGTTTTTGTAACAGTAAATCTTAAAAGGGGAACCGCACATGGTAAATGCAAATATAAATTAACATTTGTACGCGCACCTACCTATAAATAGACTTGGGTTTTTAGAAAACCGATTTGGATGTTACTTCTTATAAAAATCAGTTAAGAAATTGCATAAATTGCATTTTTAGTTACTTTAGTAACGGTTCCAAGCAAGCGAATCATTTCTAAATGCCTTGGACGAAAATTATGTTTTTCACATAAATTATAAACATGCTTTCAGCAACATTTCCTGTAAAGGGAGACTAATCACAATACAAAGAGTATACAATACCTTCAGATTAATCTCCCTTACATTTAATTTATTTTTGATAATTTCAATCCTTAGCAGAAAAATAACAAAATCGAGCTACGTAATAAAAAGAGCATCGAAACACGAGGCTATCTGATTTGTACAAGAGGGCGTAGCCCCTGAGTATAAATCAGATTGCCAATTTCTCTTTTGTTACATAGTCAAACATTAAAACACGTTCCCTGTTGTCACAGTATGAAACACCCAAATAAAAATAATCAGTGAACAAGCCTCTGAATATGATATTTATGTTGCTTTCTCTTTCTCTGCCGTCACAATAAGTAAACCCCAGCAAAATTGAACCAATCAATGGGCATGCTCTGGAGTGCGTGTAACTGATACCTGCACTCCAGTTAATGTATGTATATGTATACGATTTAACTCTGACATATGATCAGGCTTTAATATGAGCAGGCCGGTCTATCTAATCATGGGTGGCTCGAAAAGACTTGGAGGTGAATGGGGTTAAATTAATCCTGAGACAAGAAGTTAAGCAACGGACCGCGTTGGAAGAAGGTCTATTGTCAAGGGAACAAGGGAATAATAATATAAGGCCCGGTCACACCGCAAGAACTTTGCTGGAGCGTTCCTGGAGCGGTAAAAAGAATTCATCACCGCTCGTTACCGTTCACCAGAAGATGGTCTCCGTTAAGGCAATAATACGGTCTGTCACCGCTAATGGTCCCTCCTACCGCTCCTAAGGTTTTGAGCTGCGAGCGGTGAGGAGCAAGAAATTTTCCGCTCCGGCAAAGTTCACCACCGCTCCAACAACGCCCAGTCAAAGTTTGACACCGCTAGACGCAAGTTCGTGGACGCTTGGGTCCGCTAGGCCAACGCAGAAATCTTGAACGCTGGACCACCGCTGCTTCGCCAGCTTTGCCCGGGCGGTGATTAAACGTTGCACAAACTTTGGTGGAGCGGTTGTAAGCGTTTTACGAGCGGACACGGGATTGCTGGAACGGTGTTGGGCGTTGAAGCAGCGATCCATTGCGGTGATGAACTTTGGTTTGGCGTTAGTATGAAGGTGTCGGAGCGGGACCAGAATTTAGCTATAATAACGGGGAGAAATGGACCAAGAGCCCATTTGGATTCAAGCTGCCTTTGAGTGCAGACCTCATTTACATCGAATTTGCTCAAAGTTACAGTTAAACTGTATTATCATGGATGCTGAGAGACTTGCTATGATTGGTGCATTAATCCAGCAGCAGAATCAGACCCTCCTCAGATTCACGGGGATGGAACCCCATATGTATCTCAAAAATGAGCATCGGTAAAAATTATATGTGAATTTCCACTGCACCAGATGTGAAGCAAACACCAGATGTGACTGTAAGAATAGATCAATCGCAGGGTAAGTTTTCTTCATCTTTTTAAACATTTATATATAATTCAATCCTTTTTTTTTAAGAAAATCGAAATGTGATTCTACCCTCCTGACTCTCCGCTATATTACCCATTTTTGTTTTGGATTTTTATGCAGTCTTCATCGAGATATTCCTTCCGTCGTGGGTTCTGGTGTGTCCAAAACATGCAATGTGAATGAAGAAAATATCACTAAACGGACTCAAAAAACAGAGATTTTACGACATCTCAATACAGACACTCTCTCCAACCGAGCCAACGCCCGCGTGCGCAGAGCGCCGCTTTATCAACGCTCGCGTCACCGCTAATCCAACGCTCGCTACCTTTAAGCCAGCACCATTACAACGCCGGCTTCAGGCCAACATCCATTTTCGATTTTCCCCCATTTTGTGTGCGGTGACGAGCGTTCGGTCGAAATTCGGTCCCCTCTCCCTACCGTTCAAGGAACACTCCAGCAAAGTTCTTGCGGTGTGACCGGGCCTTTACACTTACTATCGATGTAAATTACCAAAAGGGATGTCAATATGCAAAATATTCAAAGTAGACAAATTCAGTAATTCATAGATTTCAGTAATCAAAATATTTTAATGCATAAGGATAAGCCTATTTTTTCTTTATGTTTTTATTTTTATGTGTTTTTTCGTTTAATGTTCGGTCGGACGTGAAGGATTTTGTTTTTGATAAGTCTTGAATTGTTCCGTTGTTGCGTATTCCGTTAGTCCTCTTTTTCTGTTCTATGTGTCTTGTTTTTCATTGATGTCATTATGTCTTTTGTCGCGATGTTGTCTGTTAGCTCCTTTAGTATCTGCCCCGTGACGTACCTTTTAAATTTTGTATGTTTATATGTTCCGTTATGTCTTGTTAACATTATTGTTATATCTCTTTTCTGTTGTTGTCTTTTGCATTGTTGGATATGTATGACAGGTTGTATTTTCTGCTCTTGTCTTCTTACAGCAATTTGTTGTTCCGTAAAGTGTCGTGAACTGTATACAGTGTCCCGTTAATGCTCCGTTAGAACTGTCGTATTGTCTGTTACGTCTTATGTGCTAAGTTGTAATCTTGTTGCGTATTCCGCAAGTGTTGCTGTAATCGGCCCTCTTTTCCTGTTCTGTTAAGTTCTAATGTCTGTATCTTTGATGCCCTGTTTTGTTCTGTTCCTTGTCTTGTCGTGGCTTGTACATGTAGAATGCTCCGTTAAGTATTTGTTGGTATCTTCCGGGCATGCTGCGATAAGTGGTAATTTATTCCGTTGATG